CACGGTCTTAAGCGCGTACTGGGGCGCTTTCCCTGCAGGCTACAGTCGGCCTTGATTGGACAGGACACCCGAGAGGACACAAGACCCTTCCGAGGGCCACATCGCCATAGGAGTGTAAGAGGCACGCGTCGCGATCCACAGGACACAAGGGTACCCTGGAGCTGGCAGGGTCGACCTACTAATCCGGGCCGACTGTAGCCCTTGCGCTCTGGAATCCTCTGGCAGCTCAGGTGCTTCTCCGCCGTGGCTCCACAGCTCCAGCAGAAGCGTATCTTCGCATTTCTCGACCAGTAGATCTCGCGCGTCGGGCGCTTCCCTTTGAGGACCAGGCTTCTTCTCCCCCTCGTTTGTGGCAAGTGTCGTGTTGGCGCGTCATGTCTGAGTACCGAATCCTGTCGACATATGGACAGCCACCACCGTATCGTCTGAGACCTCTGTGTCTTGTTTTCTTACTACTAATATTATTATTGTTTATTATCACTGCTTTTCGTATTATTATTCTTCTCTTCATCTTATAGACTGACTGTCTGCATCGTTGGCAGCTCAGGACTGCCCCGTGTCACCTCAGCTTTTGCGGGGTCCTCTGGAGCAGCCCCTTGATGTTCAACTCTGTCTGTCCTTCCTTGGGTCGTTTCTTCTTGGCCTCTCCTGTCTCTTTCCATGCCATAAATTTTACTCACCTGAATAGCACCATGCGTGCGATCACATTGCGCTCCCGTAGATGCTGGGTGAGATGTCGCTCCCACCCAATCAAAACGACGACCTGTGCCTCTAGGATCTCGTGTGACTTCGCCGCTATGCCCGCGATCTCGTCCGCATTTGTTGTTTTCCATGCCGTGTCGCCAGAGGGTTCTTTCGAGACGGCCTCGCCCATGCTCAGGTGGCTCTCTATCTGCTTGGCTGCGGTGGCCGCTTTCCCGCTGCCGCACTTGAGTATTTTATTGAGGTACCTCCTGTTGCCCAGGCCCTTACAGAAGATCTCTGAGCCCGTGAAAAACTCAATGCCTCCTGATGTCGACTGTAGGCAGCCGAAGGAAATGAATATGTCTGATCGGTTGTTCGATGATCTCGGTCCAGGTAGCGGTCCTGAGCACTCAGCCGTAGCCTCCCCTTGCCTTCTGACAAACTCCATCGTGACCCAGCCCCATCCATAGCAGCGGCATCTAGCGTCTTCACCTCAAGTTCCTTGATTGCCATCTCTGCAAAAGAATAGTGATGTACCCTCTGTTGCCCTACTGCCATCTCTGCAAATGAATAGTGATGTGCCCTCTGGTGCGCGCTGCTTTTCCAACTCCCTCGGCCGTGCACACCGTCCCGCGCACTCAATCGGAAAGCTGCCCACGCATCTGTTCCTTGCTCTGCTCGGTGCGCAAGGTGTTCGGTGCGCTTGTGGATGTTGTGGCCGCTCCTGCAACTGCATTCGCCCCAGATGATGTGCATGTCGTCGCCGATCTGCCCGCGCACGCACAAGTGACAGGAAATCTGTCCGAACGTGCCATTTCGCCGTTGCGCCGACCATACGCCGCGCAGCCGACCTCCCAGAGCTGCAGGATCAGCGGTGATATCACTCCCCTTCTCTTCTATCATCGTGTGGTCCTTGGTGCTTACTGTAGTCTTTCACGTATACGCGGCCAAGTTCGTCGCACTCCTGCTCTCAGATCTTCGCACGGAGCCCATAGGTCGAACCACGCTTGGATCTGGTTTTTTGGAATGATGGCGCCTGGATCGGTGCCCTCTGGGTCAAGTCGACCAAGCCTGGCGTCCCGCAACCCTTTAGCATACCTCCTCCTGATCTCCGTGAGCTCCGTTGGTGATGCCGCAGACGCCTTCGTGCCGTAGCCGATCTGTGCCATATGCCCTGCTCCATGATATGCTTCCTTGCTCTGGCCGCCGCCAGGTTCTTTTGTTACCGCCGAGAAGCGCATGAAACCTGTTCGTCCTGCTTGCTGCATGTGTCGCCCTCTTCGTGCATGTCTTCCCCCCTCGATCTAACCCTAGGTCACGCCCTTCTGTAGCCGACTTGATGGTGATGCCCAACTTTGCTAACTCCTTCGCTGCTTCCTTGGCCGTGTCAAATTCAGTGCTGAACAATGCCGGTTTAAAAGGCTGCCTCAAGGTCTTCGGCCCTCAGCTCGGTGGTCAGCTTGAACGTGGCACTGACGACGTCCTCCTCGACGTTGACCTTGATGCCCACCGCTCTCAGGCCTATGTCGTCGAATCAGGCTCTTGGAGGTACCCCACGCGACTGCTCATCGTCCTGACCACGCGGCAGAGCAGCGTTTCGGCCAAGTTGCTGCTGTGTCAGGACCCGGCTAGTAACCTACTCATGGCGCAGATGGGCATGCTGCAGGCCGCGGCTTCCCTGAGCATTCTGGGCGTCAGGTGTAGCAGCATCGCCATGGCGCGATTTTCTCGAAGACCAGCCGACTGCGTGCAACATGTGTCCCATGATCCCATGATCGAACACCTAGGTTGATGATATGATGCTGCTGATGATGATGATGGTGATGGTGATGATGATGATGATGATGATGATGATGATGATGATGATGCTGATGCTGATGGTGATGCTGATGATGCTGATGAATGTTGATGATGCTGAGGATGGTGATGATGATGATGATGATGATGATGATGATGATGATGATGATGATGATGATGAGGATAGGGAGGAGGGAATCGACAGGAGAAGAGGGCGGAAGAGGGAGGATAATGATGGCGATGGGCGCCATAGAGGGCGGGTTTGCTGCACGACTTCTCGTTTCTCTCGGTGCTTGTTTATGGACTCCTGCGGTATGATCTCTGATCCAAACTGCTTCCATGCCGTGTTGTGCTCGCAGCCCACCCAGGACTATCCACCCACGCTAGAACCGAGGAGAAGCGGGACGAGGAGGGGGCGAAGCTCCCGCGCACCTTTTTGGGGGGACGAGGAGGAGGAGGAGGAGGAGGAGGAGGAGGAGGAGGAGGAGGAGGGGACGAAGAGGGGGACGAGGAGGAGGAGGAGGAGGAGGAGGAACAGGAGGAATGCGGAGCGCGACCAACCCTGCTCGACTCGGCGATGCGGCAACTGCAATGCAAATCGAAAAGCTGCCGGGCGAACCAAGAACACTGCACGCACCGTCCCGTCACAGAAGAAGCTCATGAGGGGGGTCGCAAGTCGTGGCCAGAGCCACGTGCGCGGCCAGAGCCACGTGCGCGGCCCAGGAGGGTGGAGCCATGGGACGCACTGAAGCAAGAGTAGGGGGCCATTTTAAAACGGCGTAGTGGGTCTGGCGCAGATGGGTCCGCGGGGAGAGGCACCCTACTGTACTTGCAAAAGGTGGTCCGCCCGGAAGCTGGATGCACTGGCTGTGGGGAAACCCAGAGGGTACCGATACCGCGACTCCTTGGATCACTCCCAGGGTGCGTTCAGAGCAGGATTTCGACGCGAATCCAGCGGTGGCGACGAGGACCTCCCAGGATGCCCAAAAGAGGGGAAAGGGAGGAAGGGGTAGCGGTATGAGTACATGTTCCTCCTCGGATGTTGCGCGTGGATGCAGTTGCGCATCTTCTGCACACGCAACAGCGCCGCCCGTGCAATGGTTCGCGCCCCCCGCAAAAAGTGCGCACGGCTGTGCACAAAACAGTAGGAGCTCGAACACAAGAAACCATCTACAAAATCCCAACCCTGGAACCACGGGACGTCCATTGATTTGTGGTATTGGAACGTCGTGCTTTCCATCGCAACACCATCGAAACCCAAGAAACCCAGGACCCCCGGGAGGCAAGCACGGTGTTTTTCTTGGCATAAGTTTCCACCGTACCCTCCCCAGGATGCACAAGAACATCCAACAAACACGACGAACACCAGGGCACCCTCCCCGAACCGACCTCGACCCTATACCTCGGTCCGAGCGTGCACCTCGGTTTGTGGATGCCACGACAATGGACACCCTAACAGTCCTATCATTGAATTTAAAATGTGTTTAAAATGTCGGAACAATGTTATAAACATGTGTCAAACATGTTTTTACACGTTAACAGTATGGTTAACACATGTTTTAAGACACATGTTTTCAGACATCTGGAAATTATTTGGCAGCATGTTTCCTCTCAATTGATCGTTCTCCACAAACCTCGGTCCGAGTGACATCCAGGGAGAGATCATGGCCCCTGCCATGCCATCCTCCTCCCATTCATCACCCCCTTCTTCGACGTCTGGTGGTTTTCGGACCTTACCTCGCGCCTCTGGCGGCCGCTGGGAACGCTCCCGGCCACCCCCCGAACGCCCTCGACGAGGCGCAGCTGCGTTAAGACCACCCCTGGTCAAAAAGCCTCCGAAGAGAACCGACAACGAACGACGAATTCCGAAAATGTCTCCACCACCCCTAGCCGCGAAAGGTCGCCATCGTGCAGGGCAGCCCAGGGGGAGATGTCCACCAGGAGAAGCAGCCGCCCACGGTACTGGCCAAACCATTCAGCGGCCGACTCCCGCACCTAATTGCCAAGCCAAAGCTTCTGTCGGCGGCGAGCGAAGGGGGGGAAGTGAGAAGGAGCAGGCCTTCTCAACGGCGGCGGGGCTTCTCAAAGGCACCCACCTTTTTCCGGGAGGTCTCCTGTGTCCTCGGGGAAGACTTAAAAAACGCCTCAAAATGCCAGAGCCTTCTGAGAAGGCCCGCCCCTTCGCACTTTCCCCCCGTCGCTCGCGGACGATATTTTTTGTTGAGGAGGGGGGCACGTGCATCATTTTGAGCAGGGACCGACCGCCCCGGCATTCCTATAGTCCTACCACGATAAGTTCTTAGAACCCAAAGATGTTCTAAGAACAAAAACAACGTTCTTAGAACATAAGCCCGATGTGTTCAAGCAAGACGGTCCCAGCCAGAAATGTTCTAAGAACATTTCGTGGGAACCACAAGAAGATTCTTGGAACATTCCTTGGTGGGGCTATTAGGCGAGCCAGGACGCTTCGCCACCGCTCGATCCTCGAAGAACTCCTGCGGTTTGCCCTCGCCCCCCGCGGGCCCCCCCCCCCCGCGCTCCTGCTGCCCCGGCCTCCCGCTCGGGCGCGCCCGCGCCTCCGCCCTCGCACGCCGCCGGCAGGTCCTGGGGCGGGGGGGGGGGGCGTGCTCGAGCCTCCCTCCCTTTGGTGTCCGGTCAAAAAGGGAGCCCGCGTGGCCCCCGGCACTGTCCAATGGGGGCCTGATTTGGACCGGCTTTGGAAGAAATTTGGACCGGATCTGGACCAGACCTGGACTGGATTCGTGGGGGCTGCGTAGGAGAAACGAGGAGGGGGAGGGGGAACAGGAGGGGAGAGAAGGAGCAGGAGGATGGGCCAAATGCAGGAAAAGCTGATTTCAATGTCGCCGCCCAAGGCTCCCATGAACAGACATCGAACTTCCCCTCCCGGGACGTTGCGCGGGCACGGATCGAGAAAATCGCTGCGCTCAGAGTGTGCAGAGGAGGAGGCAGAGGGAAAGCGACTGAAGCCTTGCGGGCGCAGCTGGAACAACACAAGAAGGGCAAACGGCAGAGAAAAGGGTGCCATGGCCGAGTGGCCATAGTGCATGCGCCCGCCAGGCCCAGCTTTCCCCGTACCCGCATGGTGGAGTGGGAAGGACAACGAGCCAGGACCAGAGTAACAAAATCATACAAACTAGGGAGGATGCCGAGTGAGGGGCGGTCGAAAGACGCTTGCGGCGCCAGTAGCAAGAGAAAGGACGGCCGACCCACGGAAGGTAAAGTAACGATGAGGATGGCTGGCTGGCCATTGAACTCGCTGGCCTGATACTCGCATACTGTGGAAGTTGACCAGATGCTCCTCCCCCTCTTCCTCCACTCATCCTACATCCACCCCCTCTAGTATGCGCTGTTGGGCTGGCGTTGCCTGGCCTTGTGCCGCAGTAAGGGCAGAGCGGCGAGGCAACGTGAACTGAGTAAGAAAGAAATGTGGTGGTACTCTAAAGATGCTGAAAACCAGGCTGATCTTAGGCCAGATGGGTACTGGTTGGCCCGTGTGCAGTATATAAGCGTGTCTGAAAGCGGAGGACGAAGTTTGGCTGACATGGCTGGAGTGCGACATCTTGATTTGCAGAAGTCTGGACAGAAGTGAGAGAGATACTCGTGCACGCTGCTGACTTTTCTAAACTTCATTGAGCGAGCTAGTAAGCAATTGTACAGCTGAAAAGCGTGGCTGGCGTAAAGTTCTTGCTGGCCACGGTGAAGTCTGGCCTGTAGTGGCCCATCGCGTGGGTCTATGTGACCTCCCACAACATCACCCCCACCTCCGCAGCCCCCAACATCCATCCCCAGTGAAAAGTCAAGTTGCTTCAGAGGCGAGGCTTAAAACTGTCAGAAGAAGGTGCAAGTGGTGGCAATTCTTGGGTTGCCGTTCAGGGTTTGTCCAGTTCACCCCGCACCTCCATGGTCCCAGGACCCTCGTGTTTGTTGTTACATTTTTTTCTGCGGGTGAAGCACGAACCTTTGGGAGCAGCTGCTGTGTGGCCCTGAATGCTTAGGCTGGCCATGTAGACTGGCTGGCCTGTGGGTCTAAGCAATGAGGGTAGCAGCTGGGAAGCATCTGCAGCTGGGCAGGGATAAAAGACTGTGCTTGCTGACAGTTGTTGTAAGTATTCCACGGTGGGGTGGGCCCACATGGCCAGCCCCCTACTTACTGGCCAAAATGGTGGTGGACAGCAGAATCAAGATAACAGTTAAGCGATGTCTGAGTAGGGGCTCTAAGTCTGGAGCCTGTGGAGCGGACAGAAAGTGTGCCACGCCCTGTGGGACAGGGGGGCCCCGAAATGACAGCGAGCTTGGTATCCAACGCACTTCCGCGTACCCGTGACTGTTCCACCTGCTATCCCAGTCCATTTGTACATAAATATTCATGAGGAGTAGAGAAGAGTCAAAGAGGTAGTGACACTTAATGCCGACAGCGTGAGAGAAGACCCGTAGCAGTGAGACTAGATGGGGCCACACCCTGGAATTAGAGGGGCCTGAAAGAACTACACTTTTCTGCTGATCTGTCGGCTGGCCAGCAGTACTGAGGAGGATTCGAGTACGACTTTGCTGACCAGCAGGTCTGGATTCAAAGCGAATCTATGCGGATGCCGCTGAAAGTTTCCACCACCCCGAGTACACATGAATGGGCCGGCGCTGCCTGGCCTTATGTGTCGCAGCTTGGGCGTGATGGCTTGGCTGCCACCAGGCAGCAGGAGAGGGAGACAGGGAAAAAGAGAAAGAGAGAGAGAAAGAGCCAGAGAGATTGAGAGACGGTACTCCTTCTCCCCTTCTCCGCCTCCTCCTCCTCCTGCTCCTCCTCAGGGCCATCTCCCACATCTCTTCCCATTTCCTCTCTCCTCACCATCCCCCTCTCTCTCTCTCTTTCTGTCCTGCCCTTCCGCTTGCCTCCCCCCCGCCTCTCCAGACACACTCCTCGCCGCGCACACCCGCAGACCCTGTCGAACCACGCTGTGCGGGCCACGCGCGAGCCTCCGCGAGCCTCCAGACCCTGAGGTCCGACGTCGCAACAGACATTGCAACATCGCAGGAGATCGCGACCGGGTCCCCGAACCCCACCTTTCTGAGGCACGTTCGACGCCGGTGCGATCTGTGAGGATCCCAGGGCCCGGAAATTGAACGAAAACGCCCGACTCGAACAAATCGAATCGCCACGGTCTCAGGCGACTTCCGCCACGAGAGTCTACACCGCGTGGCGGGCGAGACCAACCCAAACCGAGGGCCGCGGGAGAAGCCAAAGCGAGTATAGAACCAAACCGACGGAAGAACCGAGCTGGAGGAAACACAGCGCCGAGGAGAAGGCACCGAAACCTAGGAGAGGCTCAAGCCGAGGAGATCCCGAACATAGAGGGGAAACCCGGCCTGAGGCTGCCCCCCCTGATGGCCTGCCCCCCTGATGGCAGCGCTGTCCCTCCTCTAGGGAGCCCACAAAAAACACGCGCGCCCAACCACGCACATGAATGAATACGGCCCCCTGGTCCGCGAGACCAGCCTCGTAATACGAACGCTCGCGCCATGCGTACTTTCAAAACCAGCGTGGATTCATGCGCGTGTACGTCATTCCTTCGCTCCTGACTCCTCCCAAGCCGGCCAGACCTCCAAACGCCACGTAAACATCAGAGCCATATGTGTTCGTGATGGCTGGCCTCAGGGGGCCGCTTGACAGGGCCCCAAGGGTCGCCGTCAGAACAAATGCCGGACGAGGTAGACATCTTTGAAGGGGCCCAGGGACACACCAATAAGCAGACACAAATCCCAGGATTCCACACTTATGTGTATATATATACACATACATCGATATTTTCTGGACGCTCGTCGTCCCCTCCACTTTTCATACTTTCCGTATCTTCCTGGCTTGGACGAGTATTCGTGTCTGTGTGTTTTTCCCTCCTGGGCAACCCCGGGAGAAGGGTCGGAGCCTCTTCTAGGGATCAGAGGTCTTGAGAAGCGGCGGGTGCGAATTTCCTTTCACCACTGCAAGCGTTGCTGGGACGGTGAGGGCCCCGCGGAAGCTCAGGAACTGGGAGGGTTGGAGCGGTGATGCTTCGATTCGATTGAACGGAAAGAGAGATATAATCAGCATGACCAAGACTGAGTGCAGAAACGTCAGTGTCGACCTTGCTCATCGTCCATCTTCGTCCTCGTCAACTCGATTTTTTCGCCCTCGCGAATCGGCGACGGCCAGCATGGGCCGTGACCAGGATCGGCGTCGAGAAGACCCGCGACATCCTGGTCATGGCCACCGCGCTTCTTCTCTCGATCGATGGCCATCGATGGCCACCGTGCTCCTACTCTCGATCGATGGCTCGAGGGAGGGCCCTGGCGCGGCACGCGGCAAGACTCGACCTGCGAGGCACCCGCTCGCTGCACAGGACGGCCTTGCGCCGAGGGGGGAAGCGACGGGTGGCAGGCCCTCTCACAGGCGGCGGGGCTTCTCGGCAGCACTCCCGGCCTTCTTCAGAAGCCACCTCGGGCCTTCTGAGAAGCCCTCTGTGGCTTCGGGAACGGCTTATCACTGCACTGACCTTGCAGACGTGCTGCAGAGGATTTTCGAGTGGATTTCTGTCAGTACAAAAACCCCGAAACGGCGAGTGAAAAACTTATAATTTTCGTGTGGATTTTTGTTTGATCATTTAGTCTTCATTCCTGGCCCCAAAAAATCCGCACAACATTCACCTCGCAATCCGGAACGAAACTCTCCAAGATCATCGGGGCCCATCCCGTGGTCATCCGACCGACATCCGCTTTGCGATGTGGGCGCCGTGAGGCTTAGAGATTTGGCACGAACGAAATGGGTACGGACAAAAAGGGGCACAATGCCCAACATCAGTTCCTTTTCACTTCGATCAGGACTCGGTGTCGGTGTCGCCGCGGCCTGTGCCCATTTGAGACAGAAGGCCGCCTGCCCAACAGCGGCCGCTGTTGGTCTGGGACAACATTTGTTGTTGGGTACTGTACCCATTCTTTCCGTGCCCGTTTCGGGCGTCCAAAGAGGGGCTCCAGGGCCCGTCTCGATGCGATCGATCCGACTCGGCATCGATTCTGACGCGCCGTCGTCGTCGTCTTCGTCGGCGTCGTCGTCAGCGTCGTCGTCGTCGACGTCGTCGTCGTCGTCATCGTCGCCGTCGACGCCGTCGCCGTAGGCTGGAGGCCTCCGGAGCCTTCCGAGAGGGCCCACCCCCCCTCGGACGGGGGCTCCCGGCGCCGCGCCTCTGCTCTCCGGCGGCCGTCCGGGGACGATCCGGGCACCCCCCCGGCGCGCGCTCGGCGGGGCGCAGCTGCTGGAGCGCATCCCGAGGCTGCAAAGCCGCCGATGGACGACGAAGACGACGACGACGATGACAACGACGACGACGACGATGACAACGACGACGACGACGATGACAACGACGACGACGACGACGACGACGACGACGACGACGACGCCGAGGCGAAAGCGTCAGAAAGCCTGGAGTCCCAAAAGAGGGCCCTAAGGTGGCCCGAGAAGCTCCCAAGATGCCACTGGTTTCCCAATTTTCTGAACATCGTTCAACCGATCCCATCCCCAGCGGCGTGCCCTGGGTCCCACTGGCCGATTTACCCCCTGAATACGGGTATAGGTCGTTTCCTTCGGGTTTCGACTGGTGTACCCCCAACTTGGGGGGGGTAACTTGGTGGGGGTTTCGAAGGGGATGGGGATGGGGATGGGGATCGGTTAAACAATACCGATGTCCGGGGAATGGTTATTTCGCGCGCTCGTTTCATCGAGCTTCAGGACGCCCACAGGAGCCCCCTTCTGCCCTCCCCCCCGGGGAGCGCCGCCACACAGGACGATCCGACCGCAACGTTAGGTCGGACCCGTCTCCCTACACGCAGACCTTGCACGACTAATAACTGACTCCGACGGAAAGACCCCGCATGAACACCTGTTTGGTTTGCCCTTCGCCTTCCCCCCTCGCCCTGGCGGACACCCTCCTCTCGCCCTCTGCTTTGTCTTTTCCTCCCCCCCTCCTCCTCCTCCGCCTCCTCCTCTCCTCTCCTCCTCCTCCTCCTCTCCTCCTCCTCCTTCCTCCTCCTATTATTTATTCCTCCTCCTCCTCCTCCCCTCCTCCTCCTCCTCTCCTCCTCCTCCCCCTCCTCCCCCTCCCCCCCCTTCCTCCTCCTCCTCCTCCCCCTCCTCCTCCGCCTCCTCCTCCTCCTTCTATTTCTCCTCCTCCTCCCCCTCCTTCTCCTCCTCCTCCCTTTCCACCTCCTCCTCATCATCACCACCTTCTCCCTACCCCTTCACCGTCCTCATCCTTACCTTGTTTCTTCTCCATGTGTTCCCTCCCTTCCCCCTGGCCGGGGTAGGCAAATCCATGTTCCTCGGCGCCGTCGCCGCCTCGACCAGCGCGCGCGCGTTAGCCGACGGCTGGTTCGCGAAGCCTTTGGGACAGCCCCGCGGGCCATGCCTTTGGGACAACCCCGCGGGCCTCCAGCTGCGCGCCGCGGCGCTCAGGCGGGAGGCAGCACGACGCCAACCTCCGCGGCGAGCTGCTCGGCCTCATCCACGGAAGTCTTCGTTTTCTCGCCGAATTTCCGGAGCGCCCTCTGCAGGTGCGCAGGGGGCCCCCGATCCAGGATGTCTCGCGGGGGCGGCCGCAGGATCAGCATGTTCCGCACGCGCGTGCGGCATTCGTCCTCTACACGTACGTGCAGCCCGAAGAGCCAAAAATAACAACGGTTACAGAATTCGAATGACCGCGCTCAAATTACCAACACAAAGCGCGTGCTCCATAGGGAATGGGCTTCCGCCTGAGACTTCCTCGCACTTCACTCACAGACGAGGATCCCGCTGGATAATTCCTCCAAGTTCCAGCCTGAGGAGCCCAAGCGCGACGACAGTGAAAGGGTTGAGGATGACACGCTCGGATTGCCAACATGAAGCGCGCGGCGCATAGGGAAGGGGCTCCCGCCTGAGACATCCTCGCAATTCACTCACAGACGAAGTTCCCACTTGATGCATCCTCCAAAATCAGGCCTCAGGAGCCCAAAAGTGACGACAGTTACAGGGTTGAGGATGACCCGCTCGGATTACAAACGAGAGGTGCGGGATCCATGGGGACAGGGCTCCCGCCTGAAATTTCTTCACAATTCACTCACAGACGAAGCCCCCGTCTGATATTTCCTCCATATTCAAGCTAGGGAGTGAGTGATGACGAAGTGATGAGTAAGTGAGTGATGATGACGGTGACTGAATGGATGATGATGGTTGAGTGAGTTGAGTGAGTGAGTGAGTGGGTGAGTGGGTGAGTGATCGAGTGATGATGATGGTGATCATGATGGTGGGTGTGAGTGTGTGAGTGAGTAAGTGTGGGTGTGAGTGAGAGCGCCAGTGATGACGGTGAAGTGAGTGAGCGCGGCGGAGAGGGGGAGTGAGTGTGTGAGTCTGAGTGCGTTAGAGTGTGCGATGATGATGATGTTGATGCTGATGACGATGATGATGAGGAAAAGAAGGGGTGGGATAAATCCTGCGCGGGGGGTGCGCAGAGAAAACAAGACCCCCACTTTGGATGTAGGAAACAAATCCAAGATAATCAAATGCCCAACACTACTCCAAACATCGTCCCCGAACTTTTTTGTTACGATGTTTGAGTATTCCTCCTGTAGAATGGCAGGGCCGACTTAACCGTAGCGCGGAGATCCTCGGGGGCGCGCAAACATGCATTAGCAATCCATGGATTCGGCGCGCGGTCGCCAAATCCATGGATCGGGAGAAGTGCCCTCCCCAAAATGCTGCCGGCGCCGCCCCGTTCGGCGGCGGAAATCCGCGATTTCCTCTGGAAACGGGACCCGTCGCTAATCCATGCCCCCATTGTTCCATGTTTGCGATCGCTGGAGATTCGGCCGCGCAGCGTGCCACAGCGGAGCCGGTCACAAAAGCAATCGCCCCCCATCCGTGCATTGTTCTGCGGCAACTCATTGGAGCCTCCCCTTCAATCCTGTTGGCTGCGCTCCAAAGAGGGAAGTGCGAGGGTAGTTATAAGGCTCCCACGATTTGCTGCCGAAGCATCTGGCAGAGAGGCCTGAGAAAGAGCGCGCGCCGCGCCGATGACGAGCGGCCGCAGGAAACCCTCGCAGAAAACCCGACCATGGAACGAAGGGAGGGGAGATACAGCTGGGGGAAACCCAGAGCACCCTGAACGCAGCAGCTCCTTTCACGGCCGCGGGAAGCCGCCGCTCAGAGCATGGAACGAAAACAAAAAAAACGGAGATCACGCCGTTTCTCGACGCGCGGCCGCGGTATATGGATCGCGAGCCGGCCCGTCGCCAGCGGGCCCGGGCTGGACTTAGGTCGGGAGCTCTGAACTGTTGAAGGGGTCCAGGGACGCGCACTTTATGGATTTTCGTTTTCCCCCTCACCTCCAATAGTTTCACGAATGTTCTGGGGGGTCGACGATAATTTGTGCCTGCATGCGTTTTCCTTCCTGAAATTGACGAACGCGAGGTAAATCGGTTTTGGATAGGAGCAGCCCCTTCCGCGCAAGCAGCTGGTATAGCAGCATCAACCTTAAAAGCTGTCGGCTTGAGGATACCACAGGCGACAGAATAGTAGATCTCTCTTCGAGCTGTCAGTCCATGCAGTAAGAGCCAGCTTCGATTGGCAATCAGGATTTGAGTACTGCTGAATTGCAACCGCCGAGATCGCAACATTCGGTGAATCAACACTCGAGAACCGCATTTTCAACCTTCATCGCCGTTGGACAAACCCTTGCCATCCAACTGTGCACCTGTCTCAAGGCCCAAGCTTCAATTCATAACTGTGAAACAACACTCAATGAGAGCCCGATGTTGACATTTATCCGCCATCCAGGTGCATCACGCGATCCTGAGCGACAGGTCTGGCGGCGCGACGACGCGAAACTCATGGATGAAGGCGATGGGAAACGACACGAAGTCAAGGCTAGTCGTTACCTCGAAGAAGAACGGTGCGTTTTTTCCGTCTCCCACGCCAGCAACACGCCACCGCCAGGTCACCACCAGGTCACCACCACGCCACCACCAGGTCACCACCAGGTCCGACCCCCGCGCCCTCGATTTGGCACGTGGCGCTGTTCTAACTGCTGGGGGAGGAGGCGAAGGAGGAGGAGGAGATGGAGGAGGAGGAGGAGGAGGAGGAAGAGGAGGAAGAGGAGGAGGAGGCGGAGAAAGAGGAGGAGGAGATGGAGGAGGAGATGGAGGAGGAGATGGAGGAGGAAGAGGAGGAGGAGGAGGAGAAAGAGGAGGAGAAGGAGGAGGAAGAGGAGATGATGGAGGAGGAAGAGGAGATGATAATGGAGGAGGAGGAGGAGGAGGAAGAGGAGGAGGAGGGGAAGGAGGGGAAGGAGGAGGAGGAGGAGGAGGAGGAGATAGAGGAGGAGGAGGAGGAGATGGAGGAGGAAGAGGAGGAGGAGGGAGAAAGAGGAGGAGGAGGAGGAGGGAGGAGATGATGGAGAAGGAGGAGGAAGAGGAGGAAGAGGAGGAGGAGGAGATAGAGGAGGAGGAGATGGAGGAGGAGATGGAGGAGAATGGAGGAGAAGGAGGAAGAGGAGGAGGAGGAGGAGATAGAGGAGGAGGAGATGGAGGAGGAGATGGAGGAGGAAGAGGAGGAGGAGGAGGAGGAAGAGGAGAGGAGGAGGAGGAGAAAGAGGAGGAGGAGGAGGAGGAGGAGGAGAGGAGGAGGAGGAGGAGGAGGAGGAGGAGGAGGAGGAGGAGGGGGAGAAGGAGGAGGAGGAGGAGGATGAGGTGGTGATGATAGTGGCGAGTCTCGCCATCGCCCGGACGTCCATTCCTCGTGCCTCCGTCCGACTTTTGCGCGCGTGTTCTCTCGCAAGACGGCCCCAAATGCTCCTCGATAAAGCTCTTGCCCAGGAGAAATGCACACGTCCGAGCGAGGCCAGGGGAAGAAAAAGAAAACACATAAACATGAACTTTTGGCGCTGCGCGCGGATTTCTGGGATCCGCGCCGGACCCCGGCGGCGCCGTGTGCGCCGCCGGGGGGGCCCAACGAGGATCCGAGAAATCCGCGCGGAGCGTCAAAAGCTCATGTTTATGCAGTTTTCTGCTCTTGGAACTGATTGGGTGGCTCCGGACCGCCAGGGGCGGCGCCTGAGGCGCCGCTGGGGGGGGGCCCAGCGCGGATCCAAGAAATCCACGCGCAGTGCCAACGATTTGTGTTTATGCCGGTTTTCTCTCCTTCAGAGGGCTTTCGCGCGCGTGCGCTCTCGCGAGACGGCCCAACAGGCTCCTCGATAGAGCTCTTGCCGAGGCACAGCGCACACGCCCAAGCCAAAGGGGCCCTGGGACACACGAATAGATACACACAAATAACAGGATTCCCCATATTTGTTTCATATTTTCTGGGTTTTCGTCTTCCCCCCCGCTTCCCATAGTTCCCCACGTTTTCCTGGGGAGCGGCGATTCATTGTGTCTGTGTGTGATCCCCTCCTGACAAGCGAGGCCCGGGCGCTCCCCTGCCCCGCCCGCCCTGACCCCGCCGACGGTCCTGCCCCGCCGGCAGGCCCTGCTCGCGCGCGAACGCGCACACGGCCCGCTGCTGCCGCTCCGGCGGCGCCCGCCTCACTCCGGAGGGGGGTCGGGGCCGCGGCGGGCGGGCGCCCTCGCACGCGGGGAGCAGCGAGGCGCGGCGGCCGACGCAGCACGACGACCCGACGACGACGACGATCACGACGCCGACGACCGCCGACGACGCGACGACGACGACGATCACGACGCCGACGACACCGACGCCACGACGACGACGCCGACGATGACGAGACGACGACGACGCCGACGCCGACGACGGCGACCGACGACCGCCGACGACCGCCGACGACGAACACGAAGACGACGACGACGACGACGCCGCCGACGCCGACGCCGACGCCGACGCCGACGACGACGACGACGATGACGCCGACGACGACGACCGACGACCGCCGACGACCGCCGACGACGACCACGACGACGACGACGACGCCGACGACGCCGACGCCGCCGACGAAGACGCCGTCGCCGACGCCGACGACGACGCCCACGCCGACGACGACGACGACGGACGACGAAGACGACGACGACGACCGACAACGACGACGACGACGACGACGACGACGATGGCGACGGCGGCGACGACGACGACGACGACCGACAACGACGACGACGACGCCGACGCCGACGCCGACGCCGACGACAACGACGACGACGACGACGACCGACAACGGTGACGACGGCAACGGACGACGAAGACGACGACGACGGCGGCGGCGACGACGACAGCGATAACGTCGACGACCGAGAAGACGATGAGAAATCTGCGCCGACCTCCGGTTCTTCCTGTTCATGTCACAGTTCGTTCCCCTTTCTCCGAATCATGGCGGCCCTTACCGCCCCCCCCGCCCCCCCCCCGCTTTGATCGTCGGGTGGGTGTAAGTGCGGTAAGAGCGTTGTATATCCGATGAAATCGTTTCAACGAAGATGTATGTAGGTTCATGCTAGTTGACCTCACATATTCAACATATATAAAATATCGAACTTCGCATTCATCTACTTGACGTTTTGTTAGATAAGTATATTCAACAACATACCATACATACTACTCACAGAACCATCCATCTTATCAACTGAGCTATCGGGTACCACTGCCAAGATATATCGATACATACACCTCAACATACCCAACTTAGTAGCTAAGTCAGCTAAGTCGATGTGGGCTGTCCGATTCGGTTAACCCGAAATTTGCATAACTTTCTATGTTTTGCATGTTTGTTCTTGATATTGCTATGTTTCGGGAAAAAACCACAAAAAACGTTTTAACAACTACAACACAACAGTTTTTCAGGACAGGGCGCCGCAGGTCGACGCGCCGAGCCGCCCTCAGGACGCCTGCGGGGCGCGGAGGGGAAGGGGGGAGAGGGAGAGGGGGGGGGATCAACTATTCTTCAAACTGCCTCCCCTCGGCGGCCATCACCGCCTCCCCTCTCCTCTCCTCGTTGTCGGCGGCCAGCCCGCCCCCGCTCCCTCCTGCCGCCTTCCCTCCCCGAGCCCGCCTTCCTTCTTCGGCGGCATATCCGCCCCTCCCTCCTGCACCTCTCTATCGAAGGGCGGCGCATCCGCCAGCGGCATATCCGCTCTCGCATGCGCTCGTTTTTTCCTTTTTCACGTGATGGCGAGCACATAGCCATCGTCCTGTAGTCGCCGATAAGCCGCCCAGGCTGGCGGGATCAGCTCGGCGGGCATCACGGCGACGTCGCCGCGCGGCCGCCACAGGGACGCGCCTGGGCATGGCGCGCGCACCCATTCCAGGGTCTCCACCAGCAGGTAGCTGGCGGCGCCAGCCTGCGCGCAGCAATGCACGATGTACGCCTCGCCGTCGCCCAGGAGAAAATCCTGAGGGCAGCAACGCCTCGATTTTTGGGGGGGCACACGCATGTGCACCCCTAAATACCAAGGTTGGTTGCGCCGTCTGTCCTGGCTGCCGTACATCTGGCCGTCGATCGACGCCTCTCTGCTGGTCCACGTTTCAGCCCTGCGGAGGGGTTCCTCCTCCTCCTCCTCCTCCTCCTCCTCCTCCTCCTCCTCCTGGCGGCGAGCCGCCTCGGCGGCAAACCGCCTTCCCCTCTCCCAGCCCATCTTCCTCCACAAAGGGCATGCAAGGTTGCGCCCCGAGTGCCCGAACGTACTGTCCAGCTCTGGCGTGCGCCACGCTTTGGCGCGGGAGCGCGGCGCCTCCTTCGCTTCCTCCAGGAAGCAGGCGAGCATCGCCGTCAAGGCCGACCGCTCGAAATTCTCAGGGTTGTCGATCTCCTGCGACCTGGACCGAAGCAGGTTGTGCTTCCGCTCGAGTACGAAGGCGTCCAACCAGATGCCGTCCTCCGCAGGCTGGTCGGGGACGTGCCACAAATAATGATGCTTCGGCTTGATCAGGGCTGGCCCGTGCGCGGCTTTGTGCAGCGCCAAGGAAATCGAAACGGCCTTGGTCCAGACAGCTATCAAATTCGGCACGGCGCCGATCCTCAGGACGTAGCCGAACCGCCTGCCACCTAAGCGCTCGAGGATGCGCGCGGGCCGACGCGGTGCATCCTCGAACGCGCAGGCCAGCGTTTGCGTTTCAGCTGCGGCCGCATGTCCTTTTGCCCTGCATGTACAATTCGAGCATCTTCGCCATCGCCTCGAACGACCGCGCCGCAGCGTTCGCCATGCCGCTGGGACGCAGCTCTGTGTGCACCCAATGACGAATCAAAGGGAACACGGCCAAGCAATCCGACGCCTTGCCCACGAAGTGCGACGCCTTGCAGGTCGCTTTCTTCCGAGCCACGCTGAACAGAAACGCTGGCGGTTTCCTGCCGCGTCTGCCAGTCCGCCACGCCGAGCAGCGATCCCGCCACGTTCCCCACGCGTCGGGGATGACATCCCTCACCGCCTTGAGGAGCGCAAAGATTTCGACCTGCAAGGTCCCGCCGCTGGCCAGCATGGTATGCATGGGGTCCCTCACGTATGTGCTCGGCGGCGCCACCGTCCGCAACGCCTGGCACGCCACCAGAGAACGGTCATCCAGAGTGATGCCCATTGCCGTCTCCTTCGGGGGCCGGAACATCAGAAGGGAAGGAAGGGGGGGACATCAGAAGGGGATCGATGGAAATGTTTTCCTCCCTGGCTCCAGTCTCTCGATGTTCGCTCTGGTTGTCGTGTCCCGCAGCGACGCCAAATCATCATATTGCTGCAAAAACTCGTCTGACGACAGCGGGTCAAAGCGCGACGAGTCAGCGCACCAGAGAGGCACGAGGTAATCATCGTCGTCGTAGTCTGCAAGACATTCCGCCTGATCCAGCACAACGTTCTTGCATTGCAAGCACGGTCTCAGACCTGCAGCGCCCTTGGTGCAGAATGTCTCTTTTCCAGCCGCCTCGTCTGCAATCAAGCGGTGGAACTTGGCGAAAAAGTGCACGCCGCCGATTGGCGCACCGTGCTCCGACAGACTCTCTGGGCCCAGGAACAGCGCGCGAAGCAATGCCCGCGCCACGGCCGAGCCGCCGATGCTCTTCTTCACGACGACGCGCAAGGTGCCGATCGGCAGCCACGCAACCTCCTTCTGCAAGAAGGATCCGAACTCGAGGAAACTCGCATACACCGCGAGCTGATTCCGACGATTATCTATCTTCAAGGCGTTGCCCACGCCAATGTCGTCGTAGTACAGCAAAAGCCTCCACGGCCGATCGCGCGACACAGGGAAACGGCGCATCGCTTCCCAAAACATTGAACTCCAGAGAGGGCAGTCCGACAGGAGCCTCGGCATCAGCCGATGCGGCAGCGCCACGCTCCATCGGAAAGGCGTGCCGATCTTGGGCTGCAGCCGCACTGCGCTGATGAGATCGGCCACGGATGCCGTCTGCGATCGCTGCATGGCCCGAGCGCTCACGTCTATAGCATCGCCCGCGTCGTCGCCATGGCCAAGCGCAGTCACGATTCGCTCGAGCAAAGCCGCGGACACGCCGCGCAGGGCCAGACACTGTTGCAGTCGAGCCCGCTGCTCCACCTGCTTGTCCACCTGCAGGGCGCGTTTCCCCATTGCGCCGACGCCCGCGCGCGGGAGGGGCGGGGGCGGGGGGCAGCGCGAGGCCCAGCGCGGTTGAGAAAAACGAATTGCAGCCAGAGAGACGGAAGTGGAGGCGGGAATGGATCGCGGGGCGGAGTAGCCGCCGAAGGGCATGGCGGTGTAGCCGCCTGAAGGGTCGGGAGGGGCGGCGTAGCCGCCGAAGAGCGTGGGGGCGAGGGGGCATGGGGGGAGGGGGGAGGGGGGAGGGGGTGGGTGGGGGAGATTGCGGAGGCGCGAAGTGAGCGTAGCAACGGAACTTGCAAGGGAGATTTCTTTTTCTCGCACGCAATTTCGAGCTTGAGTTTCAAGCTCGGGTTCCAAGCCGCCAGCGCTCGGAGACGGGCGCGGCTGGCGGCTCGAGCTCGGGACGGGCGCAGCGCGGGACGGGCGCGGCGGCGGCTGGCGGCTCTTAGTGCGGGTGCGCGTGCTGCCTCCAACTCCTCATCCACCTCCTCCTCCTCTCCTCATCCTGCCTCCTCTTCCTCCTTATCCTCCTCTATCGGCCCAGCCGATCGCCGCTCAGCTCTCCTGGTGCGGCTGGCGGCAGAAGAACCGAATGCCGCCTGGGATGTCCTGCACCATCTGCTTCGACATCTGGCACAGCATCTTGCCGCGCTCCTCGGTGCGGCGCGCCTCCTCCATCATGCGCCGCGCCTTGTCGATGAGCATCTGGCCCTTGATGCCAACGGCGCGTGCATGGCGGCAACGATTGCGCCACTCGATGAAGCGCACCACGATGGTCGCCCAGCTCCACGCACTGCCACCCGTGATGAGCTCGAAGTCATCGACGTCGTACTTGTCCGCGATGCTCGCCATGGCGGCGCAAGACCGCGAAGGGGCACGACCTCGAGCGGCTCCACTTGAGCCACAAAGACTACGGATGAGGGGTGGGACGGTGGCAGATCATGTCATTGGGAAACGCGAGAGAACGGTGCGAGCGCGGTGGGCAGCAAAGGCGGCATCTCCGCCAAATGAAGGCAAGGCGGC